TCTTCCTGGTTGGTTCAAACTTGTCTAAAATATTTGCAGAAATTGTTTAATATTCCTTTCCATATTGATCTCTTATGTTTGCCTCAGTATCAATAAAACTGTCTGAATCTTGCAGATCTGGTCATTTCACTCAAGATGTTTGCATCCACTTTATGAAAGAAAGAATGACTGTCGTCAATTTCCTTTTTATTAATAAAATGCATGTTTTTTGGAGGACAGAAAGGACAGTAGAAAAAAAATCTGCATACCTTTTTTTTGACGTCTTTGGCAAAGTGCTTATGCCTTGTCACGTTCTGAAGTGTGTGGTGCTCTCAGTTGTTAGCTGTATTTCATACTGGCTCCAGTGGAAAAGTAGTACATGCAAATCAATACTATTTCCCTCACAAACAATAAAACAGAGTTTTTCATTTTTCAAGGATCTTCAAATATAGCTTGGAAAATGACCAGTAGTTCTGTTTGTGACAACATTATCTTGTCTTCAGTATGGTATCGACTGGTGCATGTATGAACTGAAAATTATATATAAAGTGAGGAGACTCTTGAACTAATTTCTTTAGCAGGTGTCTGCATTGTGTCTATCAAATTACCATGGATGGAAACATTTTCTAGGGTATCATGTACTTCCATGTTTCTGTTAATACAGTGCATACATTCCCACTTGGGAGTTTCCTCATGAATTAAAGAAAACTGTGGAAATGATCAATGAATTCCTTCTGAAGATGAGAAAGACTTCAGGAAGATAATTCTTTTTCAGCTGCTACTGTTTAGTGGATTAAGTTCACTTTTGAACAGAGTTAAGGAGAACCTTCTCATTCCACAAAATTTTAAATCACATCCACTAACTCGCACAAGAGCTGAATCAAGAGGTTTCTCTCTTGTCTCCAGAACCTGAGCATGGTTTCACTGTGTCTTGTTTCACTGTGTATTTTTCCTTCAGCAGTTGCTCAATATGATAATTAGATATACAGCATTCTACAATCCTCTATGTTTTAGCAGATATTTAACATTGCAGTTTCAAATACATAAGATTTGAACATCACTGCTATTACTATTTTTCTTCATATTTTTTACTTCAAATGCTTCATGTTTTGCACTGTGCTTTATGCAAGACTTTTCTAGCCACAACTCAATTCTCATAAACTAACATTATGCCTTTGAATATCATTCAGCTATTTTCCACCTAAATTGGGACATCATATGCTTTCTTTAGACTGATTTAACAACATAATATTGCAAGATACCAAGATACTTAAAACAAGTATCTAAAAAACATAGATTTTCACCAAAAGAAGAATAAAGCTAAAAATTATTGCATGCAAAGAACAGATTTTTGTGATCTGAGACATGTATGTACTGTTAAAAACATGTGTTTTCTTTATTGTTAGCATATAGAACCATATTGTATGCCTTAATTTATGGTGATGCCATAAATTAATAACACTATATAACAGCAATATAACAGCAAAACAACACAGCAATAGTTTCTATTCACTTCAAGAACTGCATATCAGAAAACAGGATTTAGCCATGATTAGGAACAGTGGTACTGTAACAGAAATGACATCCATATCCAGAGTGTCACTGCATTTTAGAAAGATTAATATGTTTTACTGAGTGACTCTTATTTGATCCCATGGCTGCTGTCTATCTATTGGAGCTATGTTTGTCCGCATTAATATGAGAGGATGAATAGATGGCTGGTGGGTGAAAGAGGAAAGAGAACAGGACTGTGACATGGAGATCAAATTCTTAGTGATTGCATTCATGTACTTGCTTGAACTAACTGCAATCTATTTTAATTTGAGAATGGTTACGTGTACAACTTTTGTATCATTCATTTTTCTAAAAGTGAGAGGAAGGTGATATTCTTACAGGTGAAACTGTTGGAAAATTCATCAAGATGGAGCTTTGCAGGAAAAAATGGATGCTATTTAAAGTATCTGGGAAGCATCTGTAAAGGGGCTTGAGGAGCACTGCAGTATTAGGGCTTGCCTGGTGTATTTTAGAAGGACCTGGTCTACTTTATTGTGTGGGGGATGTCCTGGCAATTCTCCTAATGCCTTCACTAAGGAAAAGGCAAATAGTTATCTTTATATAACAAGAGAGCTCACTATTCAGATGGTTTGCAGAACACAGGTATTCTTAATTGCGAAGAGATTAATTTGATCCTTTTGGTTAGCCCTCTGACAAAATGAAATTTTATACCAGCTAAGAGACCCTGGGAAAGAACTCTGTCTTTTTAGTATCCGGCCTTATACAGTTCATCAGCTTTACAGATTAGAAATCTAACAGCTTTTTATGTCTCCTAGTACATTACACTGGCCATTCCATGGCTACAGACACTGACAGATGTGCTTTAGTTTTTATAATCACTGGGAAATCAGTGGTTAAATTGTACTGCTCTTCCTTCAGCCCCCATGAAGCTGTTAGTGAAACATCACTGCAGTGCAACAGATGATCACTGCACAGCAACAGGCTTTGCTCTCCCAGAGTTGTTTTGCACAGCATGGCCATGGCATTATATAGTAACATAACTGATAAATTACCATCAACTCTTTAAAAAAAAAGCTAGCTATGTAGTTCAGATGCAATACAAGGTCATACATGTTCTGTGCCCCACTCAACATGTGCATTTGCAATATGCCATGTGCTCTAGAGAAAGGCAAATCTGAATAACTTCTTATTCCATGGGAAAAAATAGTCATGGTACAACTTAATTATTTTTACTTTCTTTTCCCCATGTCTTTATACTTATCTGTGTGAGCCACTGATAATGACTTGCATTAACTCAGAATTCCCTACTTAATTTTGCTATGTGTAAGGCCTTGAACTGGCCTTGTACTACAGTGCCCAATAATGAAGTT